CTGTCTGCAAATGCTCGTGTTACAGTTATTTGTGTGAGTCTTGTGAGGCACAAGGTCAAAGAACTAGGTTGTTTCAAACAAGCAAGAATTGGAATCATCTTGTCCACAAAGTGCTGAATTACAGAGGAAAAAACGCTCCGACCCTCCTGTAGTTGGTGAATGTTGTGTCACAAACTGGTTTTCCATCGGAGCGATGCGTGCATTGTCGAGTGCCGTGTGTCGCACACCAAAGGGAAGCGATTGGGGGGGGGGGGGGGGTTCGGTTGTTGGAAGAGAGAGGCAGAAGGAACACATGAGACGGCCCGGGTGAACTAGATCAGCTAACGTCGGATGTCAGCCGATGGGGGAAGGAACAGCTCCGACGGGAAGGAGCGATGTCGCACACGTGATCTTCAGCATCGACCAAACCGCACAACAACACAAGCAGAAACAGTGTCAGTCTCACAGCACGCAATTCAATCCTTCAATAATCAGCCGTTAGGCGTTTAGGTCCATTACAAGGTTAACACACAAACCATTTTTACATACTTTTTTAGTGTGTATCTGTAGCCTTTTTTAAACAGTAATTAATCAAAAAGATAAAAAAAAAAAAAAGAATCAGATAAAAACATCTTAACAAATGTGCCCTTAAGCTTTTCTGTGCTCTATAAAAAATGAATAAATTCTAAAAACAGAGAGAGTAGAGAGCAGATCCCCGGGACGTGTGCAACAACCACGGCTGTGTCGGTGAATCATCGGTTAACCTCCCCGTCTAGACGCCGATGGACTCTAAATCCTCGTAAAACACGTCTTGTTCAATCTCAACAGCAGCTAATCGGTAAGTAAATCACACATTATTTATATGATGCACTGTGAGTGACTGTGGCTAGGTGGCAGAGCGGAGTGGCCCTTCTATCTTCTCCCAGCGGTTCCATCACCGTGTCCAGGTCCGCCTGTCCTCAGCTAAGTCACTCAACCCGAGTGGCTCCCGCGGGTCGTCCCTTAAATCCCCATAAATGGGTATAAATGATTGGATGTCCCCGTTGGGCCATCGGGGTATGAACGGGTGTAAGTGGTTAAACGATGATTTGAGAGGTTGGAGGAGCAGAAGAGCGCGACACAAGCACAGTCCACCTAGCGTGACGGGATGGCGGTCGGCTATAGCAACATGCAGGCTGCCCCCCTCCCCCCCAGCCTGGCTGGTTGCCGTGAGTTGCCGTGTAAAACTGACATTTAGAGGTACTTCCAGAAAGTTTGGGTCATTGCAACCAACGAAAAAATGCTGAATTTTAAAATAGCTTCCAGAAAGGAAGGTTAACGCTCGCCGTCTTACTCCCACACACACCGATAATGAGGGAGGAAAGCGCTATGATAACTGGTGCTTCGGCCTGAAGATGTTCACGCAACAGCCGAGCACTGATTAAGCTTGAAAGGCTCAAATTGCCCTTTAACACTCGATGGGACCTACAGCGGCAACGGCAGCGTCCAGTGTGCACCTCCACCCCGAGGCGTTAATCCAGACAATGCATCTTAATTCTAATTCATTAATGAAGAAGACAGATCTGTCCGTTGTCCAAAGGAAAAGAGACCAATGGAAGCCACTGGATGTAATCAGAACAGACCACAAATCCACAGGTTCAGATTCACAGAATCACCTCCTGCAAGAAAACCAGCTTTCAGATTTTAATTTTGGGAGTTTTCAAACGTGTCCTCCATATTTGACAGGCAATCAAAAGATGGATGTAACTGCATCACGTGCCTTGTTGTGTGGTTGTGTAGTTTGATAGATAAGGCTGTCTTTAGAGATCTTCATTAGCGGCATTATGTTAAAGCGCTAAAGACATTTTTAATCACATTTTCTATTGTTCCAAGTATTTGGTAACATGCACCGTAGCTAAAGGCAGACTCTCACAAAGATCGCTCTCCCTCCGTGAAGAGGTAATTACCGAAAACCCCCATTGCCTCTCAACAGAGCGGCTCCTCCCAGCTAACGGCGCTAACGGCGCTAACATCGAGTTAGTCCATCATTAGGGCGAGTTATTCAGAACCAGACCAACTTCATAGGGAATGGTTTGTGTTGTAAGTCGGTGGAGTGTGTGTGTGTGTGTGTGTGTGTGTGTGTGTGTGTGTGTGTGTGTGTGTGAGACCATCAAGGAGGCGTGTAGACATGCGCATGTCACTGTTTTCTGACTGGAATCGTTCCATTTTTCACAACTCCACAGGTCATTAGGAACTTATAAAATCCCATAATATTTTAAGCCCTTTTCATGACAACTGACATCAACCAGGAGCCGAGGAGGGAGGAGCAAGAACACACACACACACACTCACACACACACACACACACACTCACACACACACAGTCAGTGGGCAGTCTGCTTGTAAATCAACACCCCCCCCCAAAGTCAAAGCTCGGGAGGTGTCCTCAATGTCTCATTGCTCCGCAAATGTGATTAATCGTGGATTCACCCGCACTGCCAAAGCGCAGATGGACGTCCTGACCCCCCCCCACACACACCCAGGAGAAGACCTCCGCTCTGCGGCCCGGGGGGGGGTAACCGGTCACATCACTCAGCACGGAGCCATCGTGCGGCAAATAAGGTCGACACACGTTTTGTCACACCTGTGCAAAAGACACACAGGCTACGTATTGAATCCAATTATTGCCGTTATAGATGAATCATTTGCTCCATTAAATGTAATATTAATTAACCTGTTACTTTCTTAGTAATTTAGTCTACTTACTACCATAAAATAGAGAAAATTACCTAAATCTAAAAATAATGCCCTAAAAAAAGTTGTGTTCCGTTCATCACCAACACATTAGAGAATCCACAGTCAGCAATTATTTGCGTTTTTGTTTCGTGCAGACCGACTACTTGTTTCTGTGTCTTGTTCATATCGCTTGTTTTGTCAGAGCAGCGATTTAAAACCAACAATCCCAACGTCAGAGAGGCTGGAAACCAGCAAATGGTTTGTGAGTTCTTGTATAATTCAGTTTGTGCAGTAGAAATATCGGCTTCAAACCCGCTGAGATCTGAAACATCACTCAACTCAGCGAGGTGTCGCGTGCTGCTTTCTGTGCTGCAAACAAACACTGGAATGCAACGCACAACAAAAATCATCTTGCGCACACCGGACGCACAGCGGACGCACACCGGACGCACACCGGACGCACACCGGACGCACACCTCACCACGGGCTTCTTTTGTGGATCAGGACCTAATAGTCAGGCATGCGGGGCACCGGGACAAATCACAGATGTCTTATGTAACGCCGGCACGCCTGCCGTCTCTTTCCTGATATTGGATTTGTGATTATTACTCGAGGGCCGGAGGAGAGCGCCGGCAGCGGAGGACTGTCGGGGCGTCACGTGGCCTCGTGCGACGTGGCGAGACTCCGCGCTGCCGCAACTCGTTGTGTTGAACAACGAGTACCTTGCACGAGGCTTTACTTCTGATCAGGCCAAATTAAATTAGAGAACTAATGTCCTCGAAGGCGCCGTCATGTGACTTTGAGCACCAGGAGCCACGCGGCTCAGTTTCAGCAAAGGAGAATTCAGTTGGTGGATCAAATTGTCATTTCTCCAGTTAAGGCAGAAATTGAGTTGGCTAATCAATGAGAGTTTAAATTATTATCTTCTAATGTAATTACTGCACAATAAATACCAATGTATTGAGAGAAAGTCCCTGAACTTCTCAGAGAGACGCTTCACTCAGCGTGGTTACATGGATTCAAATAACTGGCTCAGTCGGACTGAAATCCAATGATCCGTTTCATGTAAACACCTTTTGTCCGACTACGGTCCGACTAACACGCCTGGATAACTCCATCCGATCCGGTTGGTAGTTCGACTATCGCGGCATGTGACGGTGAATCGGATGAGGAACTGGACTTTGCGTCTTTGCGGATGCTCGAGATCCCGACGGCGTCTTCTCTCCGTTATCAAATCAGCCGATAGCGCCATTCGCATTCGCTGTGCTCCTGTTAGCATCACGCACACATAGCAGAGGGACGTAGCTTCAGCTCGCTCTCCGCTCGCCGTCTTTCTCCTAATGTTGATGTTGATGTTGTTGTTGTTGTTAGTAGTGGTGAAGCGGAAATGGCTGCATCACAACTAGTTGTAATGAAAACAGCGCCACCTATCGTATCGGATATGACGATATGCTTTCTGCCAATGATTCGATTCATTCACTGCCATGTATATTGGGATAATAGCACCTCCCCCCGAAAGAGAGCACAGTCCCACTAAGCAAAGATTACAATTATACCATCATGCAAACACTCTCATTGTGTTGCTTCATAGCTTAGTGATGAACTACGTCGACGCCCATCAGGAGGCTCTCTGCTGGTGTGAAGTAATTATCATTGATAGTAAGAAGTGCATCCAGGGAGAAGAGACATCGCCGTGATGCAGAGGAGCCTTTGGATTGTTACACGCTCAAAAGAAAGTCAATGTCCCGAGATGCATTTCCTCATCATTAACGGCCTCAGCCCCCCCACATGTCTTCTTAGTGAGTCCCAGCCGGCAGACTCACACTTGACACTTAGGTTTGGAGGAGGGGTTAAAGCTGCACTTGGAGTCCAGAGTGCCGTCCCATGCAGACCCTGGGAGGGGGGGGGGGGGGGGCGCTACGTCGGGGGCCCACACAGTAAACACCACTCACAGTGAAGTTCACTCCGTCGACATCTCCGGTTGACCTTCCCCACGTGGCGCTTCATAGAGGCCGAAGCTCGCAGGCTTTCACCGACTCATCGCCGCGGTCTGGTCAGGTCACATGACGCCGGTCCAGTCACATGACGCCGGTCAGGCACGGACAGGCGTCTAATTCTATCCGACTGGATGTTTGCACACAGAAAGCAGGTCGGACCACATTCACCAAACAGTGGAACGAGAGCCGGGACAACGCCATCTAATCATCTACTCAGCTTCAGACATCGCTTGATGAGTTGATCCATAAATAACGACTGGCCGGACCGTCCAGGAGGTCGCACAGCGCGCAGGGAAAAAGGACCCCTACCTTAATGAAGGGTACGCCAGAGCGGGCTGGGGCTCATCGGGGTCCGGTCCAGAGGGGTCCAACGGCAACCTGGGAGAGGGGGTGGGGGGCAGGGGAATGGGGGGGGGGGGGAAGGCAACACTGGTGTGCGCCGTATACGCAATGAAGCGCTCCCTCTCACACGCACAGCCAGGACAGCTGTGTGAGGGGAGATCGGAGAGAGGCGACCGATAGAGGCAGAATGGTCCCCCTCTCCCTCCCTCTCTCCCTCCCCTCTCCCTCCCCTCTCTCTCTCTCTCTCTAAACCTCTGTTGCTCTGCTCCCTCCCATTCTCCACACTGCATCTCTGTATCTGACACAAGCACACACACAAACGGACACACTTCTGTCAGTCTCCCCCGCAGCATGCTCTAAATTGTAGATCCCTGCATGCAGAATAGCTTTCAAAGGAGATATATATCTTTTTTCTTCTCAAATTGCCTGTTTGAGAAGCTAGAGTGCTTTTATTCTCGCATAATACACTCTTTTAACAGTGTTTGCACTCGCTGCATAATCCTGAATGGACACTTGCATTAAATTTCAATGCCCAGTGTGCACGCTTTACAGGGAAAGGGGAGAGGAAGGAGTGAAGAGGGGAAAGACCTCGAGCGGAAAGATAACGGCAAAGAGGCAAAGGGAAAAGGACACGATACAAATGTGAGGGTTCTGCAGGGTGGGGCGTTGAGACTGGGACACAGGTCTGGCTTTGAAGTGCAAATGAAAGCAAAATGTCATGGTTAATCTCTGCAAAGCGAGCACGGGTTTCTTCTCTTTGTGCGCGTGGCACCAGCGGGCGCCCAACGTCGCTCTCCAGTCCGTTCAGAATTCCACAGCGCGCTGCAGGATCGGCCAGCAGCATTGCTCATAAAGGAAATTAAAACCAAAGGCTTCAAATCATCATTCGCCGCGGGGTTGCACACGGAGGAAATCGATGGAGCCTGAAACAACGCAGTTAATTTATGCTGTATAATGCCCGGGGTAGCACCAGCACATCCATTGTACATATTTGTATGTTGAGAAATGTCTCAATAATTGAGAAAAGAGATGGGAAAAAAAAGCGGGAGAAAGCAGCAACCAATCAGCATTCACACAACCGTCGATGATTACATTGTGATGGCTTCAATATCTTTAAATGTTGAATGTTTAAACAGGAAACGTGACGGATTCTGATTTCCTTTGTGATTCAGAAGGACTTCTGACATCGTCGTGTGAAGGTCAACTTCTCCTCCCCCCCCCCCCCCCCCGGGGGCTCCTGGTTCGTTGTGTCCACGCATGACCATTAAAATCATTCAGATTGAAGTGATCATTTTTGTAAGCAGCATGTGAAGACCCGCTCGCACTCACAGAGACGCACACGCTCGCACACTTGCGTGTATTGAGTCTCCTCAACGCGCCTCGGGTACTGAGCATTAATCACGAGTTGCAAGCTCATCAGGAGTTCACACCGTGACATCATGGGAAGGTTTCCTCGTGCAGGAGAACAGTGACACAGTTATTGTTCGTCTGCTCCCTACGTGTATAGTTACATTCTGCGTGAATATCTATGAAAGCAATAAAAAAAAGACATCTTGTTGAGACCAATCTGCAGAAGTGGGTTTTATGCAGTGATTTCAAAGAGATTACGGATTCTACATCATCTCCTTTGACCTCGAGTCGCCCTCATTGGGGAGTCTCGGCTTTGGACGGACGAGAAGGACGCCGACAGTTTGAAGCCTAAATCGGACTCAAGCAGAACGACTGGATTTCTGTACTTGGCGGTCCCGGATAAAAGACCAGAGGCTCTTTCAATGGGACCGTTCAGCATCTGGACGACTGAACAAAAGCAATATCTGGCTGAGCAGATTTCCAATTGAGCAGTAAAACTGTCCAAAGCCACAGCTGGAAGGCTTCTTGGGGCATTTGAGCTCAACTATGGTGTAAGAAAAGACACAGGGACGTTAGATTATTTGCAAGCGCAAATAGGAGCATGTATAAAGAAAACTGAACTGGACCTAAAATGGACAAAGTAATGAGTCCCACTTTGTCTCGTCTGTCCACTGTTGGGTAGCAGTGCATCATAATCTGTAAAGTCATCGCAGGTTAGAACCACGTATTTAAACTTTCACAATACCAGCCTTGTTTCTGGGGAAGAACATTTTCCAGCCAATCTGATTATCGGAGGCGGCTGGTGTTTTTTTTCTTTTGGTAGAGTCAGTAAACATCCCAGTATGATTCAAATGCAAAAGAAAACGGTATCAAACACGCATTATTACTTTGCAGGTAAATATTTATCATTTATTCCAACATAATAAGGACATCTTATTCAACCAATTCAGTATATAAATCAATATATATATATATAAATCAATATATATATATATATATATATATATAAAACAATATTCAGAATATGATATAACTGCCATATTGTTACTGTTATAAATATTACAATATAATATATATTTATATAAAATCTATTAGAACATGTATGTATACTTTATATTGAGATGTACCTCTGAACCGTTTTCCTTCCAACTATTTTGGATAAAATGTCCCTGTTTTCATCCACGTGCCGGTTGTGCGTCCTCACCGCGGTCCTGTGTGCGTCGCGTCCGGGTAGCGATGTGAACTTTTAACACGCCGACGTGCGTTTATCGGCGCGGTCAACCAGCCTCCACGTCCAAACACGTTAGCATGTAGCTAACCAGCTAGCTAAACATCCCGGTGTAGCACCGCTACAGAAGCGGCTTCCCTTTCACGCTGGTCCCTTGTCTGATCGTGAGGTCGGGCCGAAGAATGAAATGGAATCAGAAAAGATGATTTGATGCAAACAAATGCACCGTTACCTTCAACAAAAATAACACATTTCTGTAAAACATTGTTGGAGGCATTTGAGGAAATGTGAGCCAAATGAACCAGATATGGAACAGATGTTACATATAAAACCTTTCAATAACACTTCCAACTCGTAATATCTACTCTCAGACTGCTGTTTATTTTATTCCCACAAAAAGCGTAGGAACAGAATAAGAAGGTTTGAGAATGTGATTGTGTTAACGTCACTGTTTATTTTTTAAATTAAATGTAATGTTTGCCTTAGTTGTACAATGCAGTGAATAAAACATTAAATTTAACCAAAAATGTTGGAGGCAGACCAGTAGGGACACCCTTCCAAAATGGATTTGGGCCGTTGTCATGCGCTACGTCGCTCCTGTTCACTCTGCCACGGAGAATTAGTGCGTTTGTGATTCCGGCCCGTCGGCGTTTGAAGTCCACAGCTGAAGCAAAACGGCAAATTCTTGTGTCGGTGCTTTTCCTCCCAGCATCACTCAGATTCTCCCTGTTGACCATTATTTATCATTATTAAAAGCAAACCTGTTGATTTCTGCTGAGAACCAGTAATGAAGGACTCATGGGAGCTGCTTGTTGGCAGGAAACGAGAGGAGGCTCTCGTGTACACGAGTGTGACTTAATCGATCACCACAGTTGCTCAGGTGAACTTCCTCTTTCGTTGTCATGAAGATATTGATTTAAAAAGGTTGTCACGCTGATCATACTTGAGAACAGAAAATATAATTAGTATCTTAAGAAGCCTCATCAAAGGTTGTCTAAACTACTATCCATTTCTTTTCCAAGGGGACTGCGTCAATTATTTTTCCGTGTTATATGAGAAATACATTCAGCAGTGAAGTAAAACAACTTCAAAGGGAAGAAGAAGTGCCTCAGAATGACAGACATGCAGCACAAACTTTATTCCATCTTCATTTATGGACCGCAGCTGCTGGGCGTCTAAGGTGCTGCTTCCTTTTGAAGCTCCTCTACTTGATCATGCTGCGGAACACAGACAGCATGTGAGGCGCACAACAAACTGGTTCACTGTGTTCAGTGAGAGTAGAAGAAGTGGCGGTGGTTTGGATTCTGTTCTACAGTCCCCACGTTTGTCTGACAGGAAAAGTCACAGCTTGTCAACAAGCGGTAACGAAGCGTTTGAGGGACTTTCCTCCATCACCAGAACCAACTGATTGCATTTCCCGAGAGCACACTGGGCTTTGACGCGCTGCCACATATCCGCTGGGACCTCCGCGGGTTCCTGCATCATGCAACACGTGCGCCCGGGGGAAACCAGGAAGTCCGCTGGTCATACCGCTTAATCCCGAGTGAGGCATGAACGGACGTCCGCCCAGTTGTCGAGGAGGCAATTCATTTAAATGAGTGTGATCTATTGGGCGCCATGGATGGAACCTTTTTAAAGAGATATTTCACTGGACAAGTGGACATTTGGACCTGCTGGTGGCGCTACAGGAAGAGTCCTTAGCATTCACCCACTGGAGAACATGAACATCTGTACCAAATGTAAGGTCGATCGAGCTTTCAACGTCCACTGACGCATCACCCAAGTCCCGCCCCTCAAACACAAACAGCCCAATCATAGCGCAGCATCGCCTGCTTCTACTTGTATCTATGCTACTATGTTTTCCAGCTGAATCATTTGATATCCCGGATTAATCCCTCAAACACATCTTGTAGGCCGCTCTGTCCATCAGGGGAACTGGACGCACATAGACGCTGACTGTGGCTTCGACAGCTAGACGGCGTGGCAGCGGGGTGGGCGGGGCTTAGCCAGAGGTCAATTAAGACTTGATTCCTTCCACGTGCCACTGACTTTGGCTGTGAGGAGTTTAGAGTGTCAGTTTGAGAAAAATCCCCCAGAGGCCGTTTATCTGCTCAGCGGACTGGAACAACGTGATTAATGAGTAATTGAGTTCTACAACACAACAAAGATAACAGTGACCTTCGACTGCGGTAAACAAGCAGTACAGTAAAGGAAAAAGGCCTGGTGTCAACAAACAAATACATTTAAGAGCTAATTAATGCAGTTCATACGTGCGCCTGCACCACTAATACCACTGAGAGCCTCTCAGCGGGTCTGATTTTCATCTCTTTCTGTCCTTCATACAGATTGCCGGTTGACCTGGCACTTTAGCAACAGTAGAGAACAAAACTTCCCCTTTGAGAGGTACAAACACTGGGCGGAACTTGGATATGGCGTGTACACATTGTTTCATGATCTTCTTTTCTGAACA